TAAGAACTTGTAATATATACATAAAAATGACCCTCTGCAGAAAGGGCGGGAGACTAACAAAAGTGTATCCATATAAGCTAAATTGATTGATATACGCCATTGTAGCAAAATGAAAATACCAAATTGGAGTATTAGCTCAAAGAGATTGTGAGATATCATACAAGTGCATATCAGAAGACAATTGAGCCCTGCGAGCTAGAAAGATAAATTGAGCATGTATGCATAGAATTTGTAACCAATCAAACATAATGAATAAAGGAAAAAAATATATAATAACTTATAAAATTTTTAATATCTCTTCAGAATTAGTTGTAAATGTATTGGTATTATTAAATACTTGCAACGTGTTGTATTTAATAATAAAGAAATGTTCATTATGTGTACGTTATTTCAACAAACCTTGTTAATGTGGACATTAAAAAAATAAATGAACATGAGTTTCTCTAAAAGAAAATCATAAATACAATTGTAACTACTATGAATGCCCCTAGCATTTAGAACGTCATTAGTTTAGGGTCCAGTAATTTCTTTTTCAAATAGTAAGGGCAAATATGATTAAATATCTTTAAAATCAAACATAGTTGCTCCAATTAATTTTAGAACAAGAAAAATAAACACATTTGTGGGCACAATGATCAATACCTATCTAGAGGCACGTTTTGTGTTTAGTATCAATTGAAATTTTTAAAATGAATAGAAACATGGCTAATAAAAGAGGTGGAGACCACCCGTCTTTAACAGGCAAAATTTTTCCCTCGGGTCCCCGAATGGTCCGCTCCGTCTGCTACCCAACTAAAAGGCGCCATGTGGACTTGCGTACCCATATTTACACGTAATGAAAAAAGCAAAAAAAAAACGTGTTTAAGCACGGCCTAGCCCGACGTGCAAAATTTTACATATTATCCTACAAATTTTACTTATTATCCCACCTTTTTTGCGTCTTCCCTCCAGTATTTTTCGTATTATCCCTCAGAAACTTCTATTCTGCATAATACAGTAGAAAAGAAGGTTTCAAAAAGCGTTTTTTTTTCTCTGTTAGGGTTTGGTCGCTGCATTTATGATGGAGATAGATTTCTCTCTTAATTAAGAATTAGAGCACATGGATGACGAAATCAATGTCAACGTGTTTGAAACGGATGTAAGTTTTTTTGCTTACTTGAATCTGTTTTCCGTTTTTCAGTGTATGTTGCGGACCGTCAGGTCTCCTAACCGAAAAAGAGCTCCGTACATCAGGTCGGGTCGGACTCTAGCGAAATTTTTTTTTAAATTAATTGGGTCCCACATTTTCCACGCGGCCAAATTTAATTGGCCATTGTACGTTGCGGACCATATGTTGCGGACCGTTAGGTCTCCTGACCGAAAAAGAGCTCCTTTAACAGTATCACTTGCCTTTTACAATAACATCACAAAGCTTATCATGAATTGGATGATGGAACCAAGTAAAAGTAGCAAACCTGAAGTTCTCAAAAATATAAATGCCATTGAGTCATGGATCAAAGTATAATAATAGATTGTTATTAAGAGTAATATGAAAAATTAGGCATCTTGTAATTTTCTCGGTCACTTGTTACAAATCCTTTCTGAAGCAAAAAAAATTTATTTTTGTATACCAAAGAGATGCGTATTGGCTAAAGAAACAATTAGAAATATAATGCATTTAAATGATCATAGATTTACATATTAGATTAATAGCATCAAGGTTAGGAAGGCCGAGACCGCCACAAACCTCATGAAGAATGGAAGTGCTCCAAGCAACTATACACAATTTTATAATATATTGAACATTGAAGATATTTTTTCTCTAAAATCATTGGGTGTGTTGGCCGATATAAACCAATAATACAGAAAACTTCAAATAGTATTTTTAATGAATTGCAACCTACCATTAGCAACTAGTAGCTTTTGTTTCCAAACTGAAAGACAATAGTAAAGTGTATCCATAAATTTATGACAATCTATTTAGTCTGTTAGTTTTAATATATATACCCAGGTAGTCTCAAGGTAAAATTTTATATTGAAAACATCTGACATCACATATTTGATGTTGTGAAGTAAGGTTCATGAGCTAAAAGAAAAATGATAAATTTGATGTTTTAGCACGCGTTAGAGACACTGTTAAAAGCATTAAGAATGTCATTATGATTATTTATAAAGTGGATATCATTTTTTTCAAAAACAATCAATATATCAACATAAATAAGGTAGGAGTTATATTTGTCATAATCGATCATAGTGACAGAAAATAACATTTAATTTATTTATTAAGCATATTGGAGAACTAAACATATTTAGTGTGAATTTTATTCACTTAATGAAATATGAGAAAATCGATACACGCCATATTTATATAATCAAAAGTCTTCACAAAATTTATTTCAGAATAAAATCTCTTTATAGATTTAGATAAATTAAATCCATAAAGAAGCGATCGAGATAAAATGATGTTGTTGCAATATCTCAACCGACAATGAAGGCAGCTTCGACAAGATGTATAATGCTAGGGGGGAGAAAGTTTAGTATTTTAGTAATAAGTTTATAGATAAGTTTATAGATAATATTACAAAGCGACATGGGTAAATAATTTTTGAGCATGAAATTCATTTGGAATAAGAATTAAAAATTGGCAAATCTCATAGAACTCAAAATGTTTGAAGAAATTAGTCCTTTATTGCTTGGAAAGGACACTCACAGGGCAAAGATCAAGAGAAAGAGGAGAGAAAAGACGATGAGATCTATGCAAATTGTCCTATTATGGGTTTAGAAGGTAGTTCACCCCGACAACGCAGAGCTTGATGAAATGAAATAAATCTGTTTTGTAATCTCAAATAAAGACTTGCATGCAAGTAAAAAAGGAAATATTTTATTCACACTAAATAATTCACTAATACTACAGAAAATAAGAGAAATTAACTGAATATAAAAATGATAACTATAAATGACTACACATGCCCAAAAAGAAAAAAACAACAACTAAATCAACTGAAAAAATATTGAAAAGGAAAAACTAAAACTGCAAAGCGTGCTCCATTGGAGACTATCATGCTGGTGGCTGAATAAAACATATTAGAAAAATATATCAAAGAGTGAGTTTGACAAACAAACTTAGTACTAACAATCATCTATTAAAGCATAAATATAAAAAAAAATGGGGCATGTAGTATAAACAACAATAAGGACGATCACTACATGCATATATAACATTGTAAGACAACAAGAAAGTGATGGACATCAAATATGTATATCATAAGGAAACATGCAATAATTTTTCATCAACTTTCTTATTATTCAATTTTCCAATTATTATTCATATAATTAGCTTTAATAAACACACTAAACCCGCGAAAGTTGATATCAAACCAAGGAAACCTGATGATTTTGTGTAGTTGTCATTCAACAAACCCATCAACCCATCTAGCTAATATCTAAAAGGATTTCACTAACCAACACACCATCACACACAAGCATACAAATTTTTTCATTGGAATAACATATACGTAATATGATATTTAATGTAAGCTTGTGATATGACAAATACAATTTTATGAAAGTAAAGTGCACGGAAAGTAAAATATCATAATTGCAAGGTTACTCAAATATGTCGAAATTTTATAACAATAAATTAGAGATATTAGTAATTTTATCATGAGAAATAATTAAAGCCTATAATAAGTGCAAAAATATAATTGAAGTTGTAAGAACATGACCGACATTAGATATTGTGTATTTACTACAAATAATAAGGATCAACATTCATAACTAGAAAGGGCGTGTTTATTCTCCAATAAAAAAATGCTGCTTACCTTAAGATGGTAAGCACAACACTTATACGACTTAGACGGTTCGACTATCAATCCTACACCACTTAGTAAATAAAAAATAATAATTATGCAATTAGATTTACTTTTTCATTAAATTAGGTGTATTCTAATATGCCTACCAAGATTTAAGATATGTGTGTATATATAATAAATCATTATGAGAAAAAGAAATTGTTAACTTAATTAACTTTAACCAATATAATCAAAATATTATTTTGTTTTGGCTTTATTATAATATAAAAGAAAACAAAATTTCTGCTTTCTAAATAAAAATTTGAGATATTTAAATAAAGATTTAATAAATAGTAAAGAAAATGACATCTTTTAATCCTACAAGTTTTTAAATCCCATTTCTCCTTCAGTTTGCCTTGATTCTAGGATTTAGCAAAATCTTGTTGGGAGATATATTTATGGGATTCAGAGGAGTTGGTGCACTCGCGAGGGAGGGAGGCAAAGAAAGAAGAGTGATATTTCTCAGTGGTTTCAAATATGAGCAGAACAAAAGTTTCGGTGGTCTCTGCAAGCCCATGTTCCCACCGTTGCCATCTTTGTTAGCTCCATTTGTGATTTTATCGCAAGGTTTTCAGGCTCCGATAGTAGGAAGGGAGGCGATCGGGATGATGCTCTTAGCCCCGCTCTGATTGAGGGCTGGGATAGTGACAAGGGCAGAACCAATCTCTTTTTTTAGTGGGATAAACTCCAATCGAGACTAAACATAGGAGAGATCAAGGTAACATAGAACAAAGTGATATTTTATGATGGACAAAACTGATATTTCAGATGGGGGCAAAAAGACCAAATTGCCCTCTCATATAAGTTAAAGCCTGAATTTGATGGGGGAAATTGCCCGCTTGGATCATGCCTGGGTCCGCCCAAGGAGACGACTATTCGATAGCCCAAATCAGGAAGGCGGCAAGAGGGAGTGGGGAGCCAAATCAGGAAGGTATCGGGAAAATAAATGAAAGATTCACAAAATCCTGATTGGGAAGTTCGAACAAAAAAGAAAATGAGAAAAAAATTTCATAGAAAAATTCAAGGCTTATAAGAAACCAAAATGCTAAGAATTTACAAATAAGAATTTAGGGTTATTTACACATATAGCACCTGAAATTTTATTATTTACAAATTTAATATTTTCAGTCATTCTTCAAATTCGTAAAAATTAAAAGCCTTGGCAGAGCAAGTCAATCCAAGTACTCGCGCTCGATTACAGTCTCGAATGGCAACGAGCATCAGCTGATCGCATATTCACAAAAACCCTAGCAGGCAGCAATGGTTTCTCTTCTCCCAACGAATACCCTTTTCTCTTCTTCATCCTTTACCCGCCTCCCTCCATCCTCATATTCTCCGCCCCTACCTTCATGGCCGACGAAAACCCTACCGACC